TGAAAAATTTGAAATCACTATAATTTTAGCTTTTTAATAGTAATAGGAATGTATAATAACAAATTCAACATACCAGCATTGTTTAAGTATGTGTAGCCTATACATCCTTAATTGAACCGATCGAAAACGGCGGACACCGTTAGCGGCAGGGGCGATCGTGAATCAAAGGAGAATAGTATCGTTGCTTTTTTTGTTCAGAAACTGTAGATCGGCCGAATGGGACCAATTATTCACGTTTAAAAATTTGTGCCGCGGCTCAAACTTTTCTCTCTCCGGCAGAAAAATTTTACAGTTCATTAGTATTCATTAAAACATCGCAAGCAACGTAAGCGCATTAAGATGTTAGTTACGAGATTTCTCCTTCTCGCGGTGCGCCACGTTCAATGATTAAACCCTGAGAAGCAGCTTCGTCTCGGTGGAAAACTACCGGCGACCGCGATAAAAAAAAATAGGGACGTCTACTTTCGAATTGAAAATTCTATGAACATTCTTCGATCCCTGAATAATTCCGACTTTGGCGTCGGACAATCGATTCGAACGATGATTAAGAAGACGTTTTTGTCTCTCTCTGTCGCAGGGACCCCCTCGACGCCAATAATGCCAGGAGGCACACCTGGGACCCCGTCTTCCAAAACTAAGGTACGTCGAAGCGATTTCTCTCTCGTATCGAGACCTGCTCACCGATCGAACGCTAACTGGTTCTAATAAACTATTTTCTAACGCATAAATAAACGACGTCCTGTTACAGGACAAGATAATGATGAGAACGAAGGTCGTGGTGGCTCTGTACCCTTTTCGAGCGATCGAGGGTGGCGACTTGTCCCTCGAAAAGGTAAGGGAAACTGTTTCACGCGAGACGACTCGACGAGAGCTAAACCGCGAAAACGTATTTGTTCAATGATCACCGTCGAACGTCTTCCGATCGATACATTTTAAACGATCGTCCTCGTTGACTCGCCTCGTATATCTAGAAGCTCACTCAAAGAAATCACACTCGCGCGAAAAATATATTATTCGTTCGCTTAGAGGAGATCCCAAACTATCTCTCGTTTTTAATCCTACAATTGCAAAAGTCGTATCGTGCTTCAGAAACAAGTCAATTGAAACCGTATCGTATTGCATCAGAGCAAAGATCTATACTGAATTACGAGCCTAACTGTGTCGCGGTATATCAACCTGGATTCAATCGCGCCATGCAATTCCTCATCGAATTAAACCACGTAACACCGATATAAATCAATGCCTGCTACAGAATTGAATTCCGAGACATACAGCTTCGAAGCTTACTCGACGAGCTTCCTTTCGCCAGCCTTTCAATTAATAAAGATAATTTCGCAAAGGTGTTCCTTTCCGAATCCTTGGAACGACCGTGAGATCGTTTTGATCTGTGATGACGTTCGGCGATCTCGCCGAAAGGTTCGAAACGAGCATCGGGATCTCCCGAATCATGATCGAGCTTTCGCGTGACTGATTCCTGCGGTTTAACGGTTCCGACAATGTCTCCCGTCGATCATATTATCAACGACGTAAGCACCCGCATCGTTCGAATTCCGTGGACGCCGATTATCCTCTGATATGCGGCGAAACCACCTCCGGATTCCATCGACACTCGAAATCGACGTTTACCACGCCGCTTCATCAGACGCGAATCAACGTGTGAGGCGTTTCACGATTTTTCTCGATCTACGAGTCCCTCCGATTTTTACGTAGAAACTGAATTTTAATGAAAAATTTCATACATACAACGACTCGTGGCCTGATCGATCGAGCTGACCAACATCTCTGTACCTCTACAGACGTTGACTCGATTCTGGTACACAGAAAATCGAGAGCCAAAACAGAGAATAGGAGAACAGCGATTGGAAGGATACGGTTAGCCGAAACATCGAAATTGCGGTCCGCGATTGAACTGGCGTCACTCGATTTTTGGCTGGAGCGCAAAAGGCCCTTTGGAAGCTTGTCGAGCGAAGCTGAAAGCTCCCCGAAACTCGACGGGTGCCGTGGTTTTCGTGAAATTGTTTCACAGAGACACGGAAAACAGTTTCGGATTTCTTCTCCTCTCATAGTTCGACGGTGGACACTTGTGTGCTCGCACCAAGGCAAGACACGAGTTTAAGATCTACGAAAGATTTAAACAGACCTTTTCGCAGAGTCTTTCGAACCGTTCGTCGGAAATTAATTGACAAAATTGCGAGAACGGCCATTCGACGATCAATTTTATTTGCATTGATTTTCTAGGGCGCAGAGTACGAGGTGCTGGACGATTCTCAGGAACATTGGTGGAAGGTGAAAGACGAGCACGGGTATGTGTAACGTGATCATAAATTCACTCTTGTCACGACGTAATCGCGAGTTTCAATCAGAACAATTCAAGTGAAAAATCGTTCTGATCACTTTTCAGATCGATCGGTTACATTCCCAGCAACTACGTAAAAGAGAAGGAGCTTCTGGGTCTTCAAAAATACGAGTGAGTACGCACAAACAACGGAAACCGTAAAAAATTTTTCAATTTTTTCAATTTTTATGATCGTGTCAGGTGGTACGTGGGTGACATGTCCAGACAACGTGCGGAATCATTGCTCAAACAAGAGGACAAGGAAGGGTGCTTCGTCGTTCGTAATTCATCTACCAAAGGACTCTACACGCTTTCCCTTTACACTAAAGTGTACGTATTATGCGATCCAGCGTTTTGATCCAACTCAAACGATGAGAGTCGATAAAATCGTATCGATCCAATTACAGCCCGCATCCTCACGTGAAACATTATCACATCAAGCAAAATACCAGGGGAGAGTTTTACTTGTCAGAGAAGCATTGCTGCGGCTCGATACCCGATTTGGTCAACTATCACAGGCATAACAGCGGTGGCTTAGCCAGCCGATTGAAGACCAGTCCTTGCGATCGACCCGTGCCACCGACCGCAGGCCTCAGCCATGGTTCGTAATTTTTAAAGGAGCTCTTTCACTCGAGAGAAATTCTTTCCGGAATGCCTTAATTACTTTTTGATTCGCAGACAAATGGGAAATTGACCCGGCCGAACTGCATTTATTGGAAGAACTCGGTTCCGGACAGTTCGGCGTGGTACGTAGAGGAAAGTGGCGCGGTTCCATAGACGTCGCTGTGAAAATGATGAAGGAAGGCACGATGTCTGAGGACGATTTCATAGAGGAAGCTAAAGTGATGACGTGAGTCGATGATTGAATCTGTTTCCTCGTTCGAAATAAGTTCGGCCACGTTTGCGGAGAACGGAACGATAATCGTTGGATCGTCCCATTTAGGAAACTTCAGCATCAGAATTTGGTCCAACTGTACGGCGTTTGCAGCAAAGACAGACCAATTTATATCGTCACCGAGTATATGCGACATGGATCTCTGCTCAACTACCTCCGTCGTCACGAAGCAACGTTAGGATCGAACGTCGGTCTTCTCCTCGACATGTGCATACAAGTATGCAAGGGAATGGCTTATTTGGAAAGGCACAACTACATACACAGAGATCTCGCCGCGCGCAATTGTTTGGTGGGCTCGGAAAATGTAGTGAAAGTCGCGGACTTTGGATTGGCGAGGTAAGGATTTTTTCCCGATTTAAACATTCACACACCGTAACGTGTCTGCCATTTTAAACGTCGCTTCCAGGTACGTACTGGACGACCAATATACCAGTAGCGGAGGCACCAAGTTCCCGATCAAATGGGCGCCACCGGAAGTGTTGAACTACACGCGCTTCAGCTCTAAATCAGACGTGTGGGCCTACGGTGTACTCATGTGGGAAGTTTTTACGTGTGGAAAGATGCCTTATGGACGCCTAAAGAACACCGAAGTCGTGGAAAGAGTACAACGAGGGATCATTTTGGAGAGACCCAAGGCCTGCTTCAAGGAAGTTTACGAGGTTCGTTATGAAAACCGACGGTGTCTCTGAACGTTCGAAACGTTCGACCGATCGTACGAATCGCAATCGATTGTTAATATCCGCAGGTAATGCGAAAATGCTGGGCCCACTGCCCCGAGGTGCGACCATCGTTCCGCGTTCTGAAGGAACAGCTGATCAGCGTGTCTCAAGGTCTGCTCAATGATTGACTCAACCTTCTACGGTGTATGCGCCTATCATCGCCTTCGAGTCGGTCGATACAGGCGGCGAAGTCACCGTCGCTCGAGCGATCGCCCTCGATACTACCATCGTCCAACTCGTCGTCGTCGTACAACTCAGCAACATTACCGTCATCGCGTAAATCACGTGCGCCCGCATCTCTGCCGCCCTCGGTCGACTTTCTACATCTCTCATCGTCCACGTGTAAACTAAAGAAAGAAGGATCATCATCACCGAGTACACCCGGCCACCAACCTAGTCAACCATCGTCATCGAGCTCGTCGAACGTCTGTGACATTTGCAGTTCCTACGGCCACCCGTGGATCGTCGAAATTTGCAAGGCGATGCGAGCCACAAAAGGCAAATGAAACGATCGTGCGTCTGTGTTCCGAAAGTATGTGTGTCGATTTCAAAGTTTGTATTGATGCAGCTTATGCGAGACGACGGAAGGGATACGAGAAACAGGAACAAAGGGAGAAAGGAAGAAACGATACTGACGCGCGCCTGCACTGAAACTTCTGGTCCTTCCACCCGCTCCTATTTTCCCGAGGTCCTCGTGAAACCTTCACCATAGGTATTTTAGACGTTGTTTTATTCCGATCGAACGAAAACGATCCGAGTACGTGATATCATTATGTGTTTCTCGGACATTAGATTCTACGACCTTGCCTGCCCCGTCACATCGGCCCATCCCCGACCATCATAAGTTTCAGAGTATCTTGTTCGCATGCAACGATACGAATGCATTTACAGATAGAACAGTAGTATTTATTGATTATCCTTTAAACAGGATATAGTAAGTTGTGATTTCTCCGTAGAAACATATACTGTCCTTTTGTTATCGAACTTTTTAACGAGAACATTAAACGTACTTCCACGAACAAGAAACATTATTTCTGCTTGATAAGTGAATTTAATAAATGAATGTCTCACTCGTGTATTATATACTATGACGATTTAATAAAATAGAATAAACAAAAGTAACGAACCTCTCGTCTCGACGGACATTGACATTTTTAGATGGTATCGCTTGATAATAGAATTGTTACGAATTCTTACCTGGCAAAGAGAGAAGCGTCCACGTTGGCACAGAGGCTCATGACCACCGCGCGAAAATTCAAAATTACGCGTCTCGGCTCTCGCTATGTGCGACATCTGAGTCTCGGGTATGGTCGGAAAAATCAAATGTCTCCCGCGTCTGGTAAGTAATTACATTTATTTTTATTTCGAAAATTATGCATCAGAAAATTAGAACTATGCAGTTCCAACAACTTTATTTGAAAATACATTTATTTCTTAACCATTATTACTCGTTTAATAGATCTGCCATTTAGGAATTGTACATATTGTCGAGTAATGTAACAAATATTGTATATGTGTTTTGATTTCCGTACATATACATTTTTCATGTTTACACAAAGTTATTGGACACTGTTTAGAGATGTCTATTTAGACATGTATGATCAAGCGACGACGGAGTTCAATGTGTACTATACAGATGTGAATTATGGCAGCAGATGTGTTGAAAAGCGTTCTTTCCTCGTTTCTTGAGCAGAGGATTCGTCCTGTAACAACCTTTCACAATCTCCAAGTCGTACTGTAATGATCGCAATGTGCTGTTTCGTTATTTGAATTCTATACGAAAAAGAACATTGTGTTCACACATTATTTCCACCACTGTTAGGAACTATTACGTTACATTATCATCGAAAGGACATTGTACTTGGTATGGTATCGACACCCGACGTTCCTTCTGTAGCTCGTTGTAAAATATATTATATAAGCGGTAGGAAAGTCTCGCACGTAACGTCGAATAGAACGTTACCCTTTCTCCGGTGTGTAACATGCATAAACAAGTAAACCACTCTTCTACCTCGTACTTTCACGTCGTACCGAGGAACTTGACACTCCCATGACTCGAAGAAATTTGTATTCGCTCCCGAACGATTCACGGGCAGACGACACGTCGTATTTAATGATACACACCTACTATATACGTAGAGCCGATAGGCGAGGTATGGCAAAATATAGTCGATTCGTTGCTAAAACGGAATGATCGAAAAGAGCGAGGTCCAACCACCGATGATTACCTTTGTAAACCACTACCCATTTCGTTTTCGCTCACGTTCAAATCCACAGGTCGGCATCGATCTTTCTGCTCAATGACCGACGCGCAATATCATCATCAGTACGATTATTATACTGGATATTTGGGTCAGTCGATGGGCCCAATACAGCCTGAAATAAATGAGGATTTTATAAAATCACCGGATTTTCCACGAATCTCGTTTTATACACGTACATCAACACCCGATTTCGAGCCACGTCCGCCGTCTCAGAGTTCTCTTTCAAAATGTACTTCTTAATTCCTAACATGTAATCGCGAAAGTATACGTCCCAATCTAGATCCTGCATGTCGACGTTGAAACTGTTGTGATCTTGTAGCCCGTTCATTTTCTTTCTGAGATCGTTCATATTTTCGTCCTGGAAGTTCCATTCGTGCGTGGTGAAGAAATTTCCTACCTGTAGCGCGCGCTCGAAACGTTTCACGTATTTCAACAGTCTGAAACGCGTAGAATCGTGAAAAGGTCGAACGTTCTCAGAGGCGGTAGATCGCGTGAGGAACCGTCGGGTACTCACTTGGGTTTATTACCTACGAGCCTTAAGAAAAAGTCGCCGATGAACGCTGGAACTATGTGCAACGTGATCGACAAGAAGTTGTGCATAAATTTGTTCGCTATGAGCGCGCAACCCGGGTACCATACCATGTATCGCGACGGCGATTCTATTGCATTCTTCTTAATCAAGTTGTACAGCATTCCCCATCTGGGAAAATTGAACAGCTTACGCACAGTCCGTCAAAGTATATTCGTAGACTCTCGACGTTTCATATATTTTTATAGTTTCTGCAGAGTCGATGTCTCTATAAACATGGACTCGCAGTCTCGGTTCAATGATAAAATGCAATGATACGTCGGAGCATTACCTAAAATCTTTCGCGTTACTCGTACAGTTGTAAATTTTAATAGAATCAGTTTGTTGCATGGTGATGTGCCACGAGGCGCATATTATCGTGTCGACCACGTAATCGATGGGCACGACGTTCAGCTTCAAACCGGTGTTACAGTGCACCGTTCTGACGACACCCCTCCCGATCTCCATCATGGTACCTAGAAACGTAGGGCGTATTTTAAAACGAACAACTATGCATATTCAACGTGTTCCAGTCACGAGATATTTGCAATTATAAATATACCGAGTAAACCGTGAAAAGGATCGATGCACCACTTTTAATTCTTCGCTGACCTAAGGGATTTAAACGGGTTTCTGTACCAGGTGCGAATACGAACACGTGGAAGATTCGTCTGATCGCATCTGACTTAAGTCAAGCGTCGACTAAACAGTTTCGATGAAACGCGAACGAACGATCGAGATCAGCATTTAAAGAGGATTTTGCCGTCGCGCGCCACGTGTAATTGGACGTTCATGAATTCGACGCGTGCTTCCCTATTATAAAATTGCAAATATCGATCGCCTCTGCGCGACGCACCGGAGCTAATACCTGTAATTCCGGTAATGTTGTCCACCCAACCAGGAAACGGTTCTTTCACCGCCGCACAGATTATGCTCGGTCGTACCAACGCGATCGGCATGTTATTCGCCTTAGACAACACTATCTGTTCGGCCAAATTTTTGGTGAACGTGTACGTGTTCGGATGGTTCTCCAAAATCTTCTTTTCGATACTGTTCAACGTCGCCTCGTCCAAGCTCTCGCACATATCGATCACCGTAGAGGGTTTCACCTTTGTGCTGCGATATCATTAATAATGACTGTACATACTTACTATAGTCGCCTGTATCCGAGTCAAGGATGACGGCCAATTCGATCTAACGAGAGAATGGCAAAGCTACCGACGTGAAATAAAACCCGTGAACCCGTGTCCGGTGAATCTCTGATTGATCATTCGGTCGTAGGGTCGTTTAGTTGTGTCGACTCGACGACCGTTCTCCGTTTACGTATCGTACGTAGAACGTAGTTTGAACTTTTCAAAAAAAGCTGTTACTTGGTTGCACGCAACGAAACGAACGGAGGAAAGTAAAATAAAATAAAGCCCGTTACGAAAAATCGATCGATGGGATAAAATGGGTGGAAAGAACGTGACGGTTGTTTCTTACGTGTAAATCGATTCCTCGACGTAATCTCGATTCGCGTTACTGTAAGCCGTGCTAATGTGAACGATGCTGACCAGATTCTTCATATTTCCGCACAACTCCAAGAGACGTTCTGTGCCCTTCGCGTTCAAATTCACGGCTACCTTCAACGGTTCGTCGAACTTGACCGTCGCCGCGCTGTGAAACACTATGTTCACTCGTTGTTCCAACACGTGCCGATCCTCCGGCGAGAGACCTAAATTCGGCAGGGTCACGTCACCCTTCACGGGACAGACCTTGTTCAGGAGCGCGGGATCGTTCGTTCTGATTTTGTCGAAAATCTGAGGAGAGAACGACACAGAAGTTGAACGACGATAGGCAGATTCATAAGGCTGCTCGACAATAATTTTAATCGCGAGCGACGATCGTACTCTTTGGCGTTTCTTATAATCGTTCTAAAATTTTTTATGACTTTTTCTAAACTATGCAAATAATCAATTCTGGAAAACAGTTTTCTTTCTTTTTTGTCTTTTTGATATACAATTATTATACTTATTTTATGCAGCGTACCTCCGTGTACCGAGATGAGTCATTTTCACCCCCGTGGAACGCAGATTAAAAGCGTAATCATTTTGAAAATTATATGTCAGCTTTATTATTCAACTTTCATACTTTCATACTTTCATTCATAAAAGCGTAAAATTTGCTATGTCTCCGCTTAAATGACTTATTAATTTGAAAAGCAAGTAATTTTGACCCGTCCGGTGGAAATAGGTATACATCGATCGTCGGTAGTTGTAATGTTAAGCGTCACGTGCTGGCAAACCGATCAGAAACTGAGATTACACGTGTGGTTCGTGATCAGAAAATGTTTGTAACGACGGCTCCGTGAGCTGCGATCGCGTTTCTGAAAATGTCTGCATTCGCGTCAATACTTCCGAGAAGATGATCATCGAACGGTATCGTAACGATTATTTGCTCGACGACGTAACTGGCAAAGACACGCGGCTATGATGCACCGGAACTTTCACGATGATCGACTGTCTGCATGCCGCAACAGTTGCATTCCGTTCGATTGATCGTCAACATCATTCCTCATTCGATATCGCGTATCATCTAGTCAACACAAAGATTCGTGGAACGTTCGACGATACGAGGACCTTTGAATTTCCAGTCGCATTAGCGCCTTTTTTCGGGATTTCCGCGTTTTCATCGACGCTGAATGTCCCCCAGACAATAAGCAGGATATAAAAAGTGACGTCGATACGATCGATGCAAAGCGAGATGTGGTGCCGTTATTCGGCTGACGCGAGTCGTGAGCGTGACGCAAGGTGAGTATCGCGTACGTGTTATTTTGCATGAAGATCCACCGTCTGACGATCGGTCACTCACCGTGTTTCCTAAGAGTTCCTTATGTCGTTGGTCAACCGTTTTGTTTCGCTTTGGACGGACCAGTATAAAAATAGTGTCCAAACGTGGACACGAGCGTAGCAGCTTTTCCAGAATAGCTTTCCCTAGGAAACCGGTCGCCCCGGTCAACAGGATCACCGACTCGGCGAAGAACGCCTCGATGGAACTTCCATTATTGTTGGTCTCGTTTCCGAACAACGAATCGACTCGCGCGTTCACGTCCATTCTTCAGGAGACTCAAGTTCCTTTGGTTTCTAGATCTATCACGGACTACTGAAAACAAGGAAACAATGTTTCTTCGTTGACACTAGATTGCTGGAGCGAGTCAATTCGACTGATTGTTCGAGAGTTCAAGTTCAAGTATCATGCAAAAGAAATAGAAGTAAATCTGTGGAAAGTGTATCTTGTTTTGAATAACGTTTGTTTAAACTAAAATTTCGGCAACAAAAATCATTCGGCAATCTAGTGTTGAACGGTCTATTTTTATTAAATCGTTTCGTTCGGTCATCGATTTTCTCGTTTCGGAAGGAACAAATGTTTTTTGATTTTTCTGAAATCGGTTCGAAAGATGAGGGTCTCATCTCGTGGATACAGATAAATTGCATATACAGACAATAATAGCTACTTAGTTAGCTCGTTCCTCACGACGAAGAGCAGCGTACGTTCAAGTACGCGCGTTTGACACTGCCGAGGCTGCACGCGATTCGTCGGACTCGAGAGTGAAAGCGGAAGGGTAAGAGTCGAGTGGGTACACCGGACTGGTCTGGTGTCTGATCGAACGGAATTTTAGTACCGATTCGTTTAGATTTATTGTAGGAAAAAGGCCAGCCATCGAGCGAACGAACCAGGAATCCTGAAAAATGGTCGAGGTGGTCTCCGATCGCCGTGGATACTTTTACGACGCGTAACCATCGGAGTTTGTTGCCAGAACGACATCGCCCCGTCCGCGATCCTCAACCCCCTCGGACCGTTTCCCACGACATAGCTGTTCTCTTTCACCTCGTTCACCGGTCGTTTCGTCGTCTCCGTCCGAAATTTTTCCCGGTCGAATTTCCGTACCGCACGCGATTCCAAAACGTTCCCGGACGACGGAAGGGGCGAGACTGGCTTCGTGTTCGTACGTATGTGCGTGCGTCAGTAACAGTACATGCCAGCGGTATGGGCACGTCGTGAAATTTTTTACCCATGCGCACTACGAGTCACGGACGGTACCGTCCTAAATGTACTTCCTCGAATGCAAGGCGGCTACTGTCGAGCCCCGAACGCGAGGTCAGGGTCGGGATAGTTCGAGAAGTTCTGTGACGAACCATGACGAAATGAAGTTTCGTCAAAATCGAGAGTCAGATGTGACATTTTTACGAGACCGTAATCACTGTCTACTTCTATCGAAGCGAACGCGAGCTGGTGACCTTAACACCCCAGCGTTTGAACAATTTAATTCAACTCGAGCCGATCTGCTATTTCTATAAGGTCGAACACGCCGATCTAGTAGTAGATTCACCACCCAGATGGCACTACATACACGGGGTGGCTTTTAGGGGTTGATCGAAGGAGTGTTCGCAAAGTGCCGAGGGCGTTAAATTCAGACGTACAAGGTGTAGAGAAAGACGAGGAACAGTCGGCGACGAGCCTTCTGATTTCAACTGTATAAAAGTAAACTTCGGATTTCATGGATTTATACAAAAATCGAATCTGCATAATATGTTACGACGGCCGCGTATAATAAAGACACGTGGATCGTCGTTGAACGTCTTGAATGTTTCATTCGAATGAAACAAAAAAGTTGTTCTGCATAATGAAATCATAATTGTTCTATTTTACACAGATGCGCAGTCTGTGTAAAAAATTTTCATCGACACGGATCAGTAATAAATTAACCAAATGAAAACGTAATAGCTACATTGATATGACACGAATGATCTATTTGCTTTTTAAATGAATACGTAAAAACGCTGAAACAGGTTTCCGTTCTACAGATTTAACTGTCGTCTTATCCAGATCTCAGTGATTTTAGAAACTAATCCCAATTTCTTTCCCTTAATTGTGTGCAAATTGCTGCAGATTTTCAATCTTTATCACGGAATAAACTGTACTCTCTGACACTTAATTCTCTCGTTTTACCTTTTAATGCTTTTTTCAAACGTACACTCGGGGCGATAAGAAAGAAGTCGCCTTTCGCGTTTGAAAGTGACGTCTCGTTAAATGATGCACTTCTCTCGTCTTCTAGATTTCTCTTCTTTTACAAAGATAAATTTCTTCGGATCTTGTTCATTTATCATTTGCGAGAATTGAAAATTGAAAAAGTTCCCCGTCAAACATTCGTTTACTCTCTTTCAACACTAGAACTACCAACGATTGACGTATACCAACTTCCGCCGGAGGGACCAGGATAACTTGTTTCTCAAATTAATAAGTTATTCAAGAAAAGACAGCAATTTTTATGAGTGAAAACTGAACCATAAACTGACAATGATAATAACATCAATAATATAATAACTATAAAGAAGACGAAAAAGAACTGTTTACAGAACTCTGTTTTACAAAACTAGTTCTTTGCATACATTTTGGATATGTCATACAAAATTTTAGAAAACAGAATGCACTGAAAATGAATAATGATTGTAAGAAATGCGAAACGAGTTATTTTAACCACCCTTGGTAGATCCAGTCTCAAAGTCTATCCATTCGATTGTTAATTATTCACCTCTCCGTTTAATATTAAATAAAATTGAATAGATAAAAACAGACTTGGGCATTTTCATTTCACTATCCTTGACTAAATATAATCGAGAATATTTTTTCTGTGGTATACTATGACTTGATTACGATCTGGAACGTCTTGTTTTTCAATGGAAACAGCTTGAACGAGTTATTATATGTGATAGTTTTTATTGACTGGTAGTAAGACTCGACTTATTTCACTTGAGACTTAATGGGTTGATGGAAGTATAACTGGCACCGCGTGAACGGCGTCGAAGAAAGTTCTTCCGTGTTACCGCGGAACGACGACGCCGCTGCACGTTTTCGCGTTGTATAATCGAAACTCTCCCTCTTCCTTCTCTTCTCCTCTCTCGAGAACCACCGTTTTTCCTCGTTTCGTCGAGCCAGGAATTTTCGCATTGAGAACCGGTTTGCCGAAATTTCATGCCCCCACGGAAGCCGGAACTCGCGAATTCACGTAACGCATCCATTAAGATGAAATCGAAAGCAGAGAAATGGGACACGCATTACGGACGTTGAATCTCGTGCAACCACGACTTCCAAAACGGCTTCCAATAATAATCGACTGCATTTAACATGACGTATGCATCGCAGGATCCAAAATGGAAAAAAATTTATACGATCAAGAGTCGACGGTTCATAAAATTTTCACATCGTGAACTGTATTATATTATAT